GCGCGTGTGCTGGTGTCGACCGGCGGAATGAGGCGGACGCCGTGAAACTGACCGATCTGATCGAGGACGAAGTGCAACCACAGGCCCGTCTCGCCGACGGCGCACAACTCCGCTTCGAGGTGCCGCGCGGCGTAGCTCTGCTGCAGACGAGCATCCTTGGACGTCTTCGAGTTCCGCGCTCCGATGACCATGACGACCGGCTGGTTCTCCGGGTTGATCGAGGAGGTGCTCGCCAGTCGGTACAAGAAGATGTCGGGGAGAGTGATCTCGCGGATGCTTGCACCGCGCAGGAGAGAGTGGTGGGAGAGTAGCGTGAGCACCTTCAAGAGAAGAAACCTCCACAGCGTCTGCGAAGGACCCGTACCCCGCGGGTTCCACGCCTTGGCCGCCCACGCCGGCAGCACCCTGAACATGATCTGGCGGAACTGTTCGGCGGTGTAGGTATCGCCGATGGTTCCGCGACGGCGATCGGCGCAGTTCCTGCCAACAATGCCATGGGCAAGGGGTATTTAGGGCGGCGTCGACAAAGATCATGACAGCAGGAGAGTGGTCGACGTAGGTTAAAACATAAACTCACTTGATGTCCCGCTCGTTCTTGGTGCGGATCATGTACCGCACCTCCGACCTGACCACCGATATCTCCCTCATGATGCTCAGTTCCGTCTCCCGGAAGAGCGTCGCCTCCACTCTCGCCGCCATCTGGCATGCCTTTATGCGCCCGAGGAGCGTGTGTACCGTTGTCGACTGCACCGGCTGTGTTCCTGTGGCGTTGTCGGCCCCCTTGCCGGACTCGGCATCGAGGTTCAACTCCCGAATCATGTACTTCACGTATGCGCGAAGCCGGTCCTTGGTGACCCTAGGGCCGTGCAGCCACACGTGAGACCGGGGGACATCGGCCTCTTGGTCCCAGTTTTTCTTCTTGTTCTCCCGGATGTAGTGCCCTATCTCGTCGACGTGCTTAAGCCTGTACTCCTGCGGAAGCTTGTTGCGAATTTGCTTCAACATCTTCGCCGCCCACCTCTTGTAGTGATAGATCCACGAGGTGTACTGCCTCAGCGTGCTGTTCCTCTCCACGGTTTGCAGGTGGCGAAGAGCGTCCATGACGAGCACGTCTACGCACGCGTAAACCATGTCCTCCTCGACGAAGTCTGCCGCTCTCCACTGTTCGCGCGGCACCGCCAAGTTCTCCTGGTCCTCGTCCTCGTCCTGGTCGAGCAGTATGTCGATGAATTGCAGTTCCCGCCTGAGTCGTTCGTCCAAGGTGCGCGGATTAGAGCTACGAGGTGGACGGTCGTCGTTTTCGTCATCGCTTTCCTCCTCCTCCTCCTCCTCCTCCTCCTCCTCCTCCTCCTCCTCCTCCTCCTCCTCCTCCTCCTCCCCCCCCTCCTCCTCCGCGTCCTCGTCATCGACCTGGTTTCCAGGGGCGGCCGGTGCCGACGAGGTACCTGGCCGACCATTTTGCGTAGGAGTCTGTTTTTTCTTCTTGTTGAACTTCCCTATCGGCGGTGGCGGAACGTCCGTGGTGAACACCCCTTCTGGGATCTGCGTCAGCTTGTCCAGATCGTAGAGTAACTGCAGGTTGTCTTCGTCGGTAGGTGTCGGACTGTGGTCGGTGGATGTCGGACTGCGGTCGGTGGTCGTCGGACCCTGGTCGGTGGATGGCCTAGCGTCGGACATGTCGACGTCGGCCATGTCGGTACACGTCTGCTGCTCTACCGTCGTCCGTGTGCGTTGGGGAGGTTGTTAAACCACTGCCGGTACTGAGTCACGGGTGCGGTGTACGCCCGAACAGTTGCGCGGCGGTCGTCCTCGAGATGTCCCTCAATAACGTCTATCTCGGCGTCGACCTCGAGATCGCGGGGGGTGGTAAACCAGAGACGGTACTGTGTGACGGGTGCGGCGAACGCGCGAAGCGTCAGGCGGTCTTCGTCTTCTTCGAATTCTCGCTCAAGCGCGTCTAGCTCGGCTTCGAGTTCAAGCTGTTCCAGCTGCGCCTTGATGTCGGCGTCTACCGAGTCGGCGGGGGGTGGGATGGGTTGCGGCTGTTGGGCCCTCGGGCGACCTCTGGCCATGCGTCGCCGACTTGCTACGTCGACTCGCGACGTGGAACCTGTGCCGACTTGGACGAACAATCGGCTGTCGAGCAACCTACAGGCGCGATGACAGACTGGCAGCTGAAAATTCCAAGGGAACGAGAGAGCAGGAAGGAACGCAGGAACGGACAAGCGAATGAGCAGGCTCGCGGGGCAACGGACGGGTATGGTCCTGAGCGACTACGATGCTGCCGCGCGTCACGCACACCCCAATGCATCCGCCGCCGTGCATGTGTTCTCGTAAAGGCGGCGCACTGTCCGACGTGGCACGTGCCAGGCATGGCTAGTTGGGCGCCGCGCTGCACGGAAGGGGCGTAAGCCAGTGCCATTCCACGTCGGAATGGGCGTGCGTTACGCGGCTTGCGACCGCCATTGGCGCCCCAGTGAAGAAATTAAGGCAAGCAGACATGGATCTGGTCGACACCGACTTCCCTGGCAACCCGCGATGCCACAAGACAGTGAAGATGTGGACGGTCCGATTTGCGCCGCGTGGGTTTGCACCGCTAGAGCGACGCGTGGCCACGACGCCCACGTCGTGGCAGCCTTGTAATCGGTGGGGCGGGTCTCGCACCTCCCTATTGGTCCGCGTGGAGGCATCCGCGGCTCGACGTGGCGAATTTTGTCCGCTGAGATTTCCTTCTCAGGAATCTCCCAGCGAAACCGGGTGTCGTCGGATTGTCGACAATCCCGAGGGCTCCCGAGGCCCCTGGGACGCCATTTGGGCCCGTCTGGGAGCTCGGAGGTCGTCGGGAGGTCGTCAATCCCGAGGGGGGGCCTTGTCCCTTTTGAACCGCGAAATTGGGCGGCATTTTTCGTCCGCTGAGGTATATCATCCCAAACAAATACCATCGTGCTGTGGCAGTTTCTTTAGTGCAGAAAGTTCCACATTTGTGGTCCAGACGGGCTGTCGTGCGGACCTGAGTCCCAACCGTCTGGACGGAGCCCCGTTCGGACGGTTAGGGGGCACCGACCGGACATTTGACAAAAACGGAAAAAGTTACCCGCCCTTATCGACAACACATGCCAAGAGTGCCTACCAGGTGTCAGTCCTAGGCTCGCGTGCCGACACAGCACACCAATCATGCACGGCTGCACACATCACTGTAGCTCACCAGGACACCTGATTGGCCTGTTCCCTCCTATCGCCTCTCCTCCAATCCCTGTATGCCCGCCTGTCGGTCACCCATACTGTACACTCACCCTCCGCCCCCACCTCAGCGTATTTTACGGATAAATCTCCGTCCTTATTTCTCCTATATCCTCCCAAGTTCTCACAAGCCGACTTGGTTCGCTCTACGTATCACGGCTGAACAATCCGGCTTTCAGCACTTCAAGTCACGCCGCAGATCTGCTCACCTTGGCGACGTTTCCCCGTCAGCAGCCACTTCCCGCGCTCATCTCCACGCCTTCCCCTTTCCGCGTTACGCGGCCCCTGCTGCTCACCGCTGGGCCATAATAACGGCTTTTCTTTCTTCTCACGCTCGCGCTCGCGCCATTCATGCACAAGTCGAGGGATCGAGTCGCGCTGCTCTCGTTTGCAGCATCCCCGTCGCTCCGCGTGGCCCCCATCGCCTCCTCCCTACGTCACGGCGGGAGAGATCGCACATCCCCGCCTGCCGCCACCGTCGTCGCCGCCTCCGCCGCCGCTGCCGCTTCCCCTTGCGCTGTGGCTGGTGCTGCTGGTCGGCGGAGCACAGGCGCTTCGTTTCTGCTCCCACCTGCACCCCGCGCGAGCTCCGCTGCTTCTTCCGCTTCCGCTCCGACCGCTGCTGCCGCCTTTGCGGCTGCTGCGGCTTCCGCGGCGACCACGGCGGCAGCACGCGCTGCGACGATGCCGGCGGCCGTGTTAGGTGCCATCAACGGCGCCGTTCACGCGGCCTCCGGGAGCAACTTGGGCCCTGCGGCCTTGTCGCGTAGCGGCCGCAGTGCGCGGCTTGTAGCCGGGCAGCAGCGCAGCACCTCACTAAACCGGTTCGGATCGTCGCTCTATAACGAGTCGCTCAGCAAAGCCTCGCCACTCCAGGCGGCGGCGCGCCTCGTGGCGCGGTCGCGGAGCAGCAGCGAGCTGGCAGGCGGCAGGAAAGGGCCGATTGGTGGGATCACTAGCAACAGATGGGGCGATAAAAGAAGAAACCACAGCCTAGGGCGTGAGTGTTGCGGGCCGATTGGCGGGGCGACTGGTGGGGCGACTGGCGGGGCGAATGGCGGAGCGACTGGGGGGGCGACGGGTGGGGCGGGTGTCGGGGCGGGCGGAAGGAGCGGAGCGCGCAGGCATTTGTGGAGCAGCAGCAGTGGCGGGGCGAGTGGAGTTGCTGCCGTGGTGGGGGGAGGCGGGGGGTTTGGGGATGGGGATGGTGGATGGGGGATTTGGGGAGGCGGAGGGGGGGAAGGGGGTGGCGGTGGCGGAGGAGGGGGAGGAGGAGAGGAGGGGGAGCATGAGGGGGTGATTGGCGGAGGGGGAAAGGTGTTGCTGGCACTGCAGGCACTACGGGTGGGTGGGTGGGTGGGTGGGTTGAGAGTTGATGAGTGGGTGCATGCGTGGTAGTAGAGTGGAGGGTTGCTGTGTGTTTGTATGTGCAACAAGGTTGTCGCACACACGTGGCAGAAGCATGTCATGCTCTTCTGCCCACCATCAAATCTCCATCCCCACCCACCCTCACTTCCCGCACCATGCGTCTGTTTATTCTCCCCTTCTGCCCTCCCGGTCTCTTGCGTCTCCTCATTTTTGTCTCTTGCCCGCTCCCTTCCTTGCCCCGTCTTCTGCGGGCCTTCTCCCTTCCCCTCCTCTCCCTTTTCCCCTTCTCCCTTCCCCTCCTCTCCCTTTTCCCCTTCTCCCTTCCCCTCCTCTCCCTTTTCCCCTTCTCCCTTCACCTCCTCTCTCATCCCCCTTGCCTTGTGTGCGTGCAGGCCACAGTGACAAACAGCAGCGTACTTCCCGTCATTTGTAAGCCTCTAATCCTGACCCTCTTCTTTTCTTCTGCTCCTCCTCGTCCCTCCCTCCTCGCCTTTCCCTGCTGCGCACTCCCAGTCTGCACCCGTCCATATTGCACTCCCCAATCTGCCTCGTCGTCCCCTCCATGAAACAAGGTGCCGCTGAATAGGCTCAGAACCATGCACACTGCTTCTAGCCGCTCCCTCTCTCCACCCCCTCGCCTCACCCACAGTAGCTTTTCTCTCGTAAATGCACCTGCAGGTATCTGTACAAGTGTATGGGGAGGGGATAACAGGTGCGAGGGAAGGGGTTGTGTTGTCTGATATGGTGGGATCCAGTCCCCGCAGCTTCCTCACTCACACCCGCTCGTCCCATCCGCACCTTCCCCTCCTCTTCCCATCGCCATGCGTGCAGCACCCACACCATCCCCTGGCAAGGACAACAGCAGCAACAGCAACAACAGCAGCAATGGCAGCGGTGCAACCGGCGGCGAAGGTGGCACCCCATCAAGCTTCCTCTCCGCGTTGGCTGACCTCACCACCATGATCATCCCCCCCGCTCCACCTCCATCCTCTCCCTCCACCCCTCCCGCGCCTTCCTCCCCCTCCTCACCGCCCTCCCCCTTGTCGCCCTCCGCCGCACCACCATCAAGCCAGGAAATTGACCCTTCCGCCGCTTCCGTTGCTGCTCCCTCCGACTCCTCCTCCTGGCCCGCCTTCCCGCCCTCTCTTCCATCGCTCCCCCCCTTGCCCACGCTTCCGTCACTCCCCGCGCTGCCCCCTCTCCCCGCAATGCCCGTGATGCCCACGATTCCATCCATGCCCGCTCTGCCCGCACTGCCCGATGCCATTGTGCCAGCCATCTCCTGGCAGAGGTACGTTCGTGGCATTGAGAAGTGGGAGAGCGGGAAAATTGCAGGGTGGGAGGGTGGGAGGGTGGGGGAGTGGGTGGGAGGGTGGGAGGGTGGTGGAGGGTGGGAGGGTGGACGAGTGGGAGGGTGGGGGAGTGGGAGGGTGGGAGGGTGGGCGAGTGGGAGGGTGGGAGGGTGGGCGAGTGGGAGGGTGGGAGAGTGGGAAGCGCTTGCAGATTGCCACTTGGACTGGCACTCACACACATGCACATGATCGTGCATTGTGAGAGTGGGACATTCGCAAGAAACGGCAGAACCGACGATCTTCCATTCAACTCAAAAGGCGTCACTTGCTGGCTGCCCCTTGGTGGTATCACACTCACACACATATGGTCCCACCGTGTGAATCGGACATGCGAAATGCAGGGGAAAGCAGCACACTAGGCCTTGGCGGCAGCAGTGAGGGTTTCAGTTCAGCGCATGGCGCCATTGTGTGCGATACCAAGGGCAGCCGCACAGTGACTGTTCATTCCCGTCCTTTCTCCACCACACATCCCATCCGTGTCTCCCCTCACCTCTCTCCTCTGAAACTCTCTTTCACCATAGTGGGAGGAATGAGCACTCTGCTGCACGTTGGTCCCAATTCCAATCCCAGCGTGCAGCAGCGTGCATTGCACTTCTCTTCTCTCTCCACCCTGTTCCCCTCCCCCCAGTCCCCTTCCACCGTCCCTCCCCGTTCCCCCCTATCCTTCTCCATCCCTCCCTGTCCCTCCTTGGTCCCTCCCCTCCCCTTTCACCCAGCCCTCCCTCCCATACCTTGGCCGTGCAGCATAGTGGCAGCAATGACCACGGACATAGGCTGGCTGGGGAACGAGGGACCGCACGTACTTGCACCCATTCCCAGTCCCACACTTCACTTCTCTTCCCTCTCCATCCCCTCCCCCACCTTCCCCCTCTCTCCATCCCTACCCGTCCCCTCTCCTCCCTCCCCATCCCCCCTCCTCGCTCCCCAATCCCCCTTTTCCCTTCCCCCCGTACTTGGGCGGAGCAGCATAGTGGCAGCGATGAGCACGCTAGTGCACGGCTCCACCACGGACATAGGCTGGCAGGGCGACGACCCCAAGCTGCCCGCTGTCAGGGACCGCACCGATCAGTACGCACGCACGCTGCGCCAAGTCATGTGAGTCGCCCTGCCTCTTCCATGCTGTGAGACGATGCGATGCTGTGACGTGATGCTGTGACGCCCTCCCTACTACTCTCTGCTTCTCAGTCCACACCCAAAGGTCATTTTCTGGGTCTGTTTCTGTGATTTCAACACCCGCAGTAACAACTCCTCCTCTGTTCGTTCCCCTCCTTCTCCTGCCTCCCGTGTCCCTCTCCTCTCCCATGCTATTCCTCACTTGTGCACTTCCTCACTTCCTCACCTCCATCTACGTCCGTGCTGCTCTCCAAGCCTGCTGCCTGTCTCCCGCTTTCAATCTTCTGCCCTCTTTCTTCTTGTCCTGTGCTTGTATGGCATGGCATGCGTGCGTGCGTGCATGTGTGTGTGGATGCGTCCTTGTCTCCCTGCAACTTTGTGCATATGGCCATATGTGGGCATTTTTGTTCGGACCATGCCCATGCACGTGTGCTGTTGTGCATGCATGGTTGAACGCATGTGTACTGTCTTGCGTGCATCCCCGGTGCTGTATCACCAGGCAGGGCAATCACTCTCTCCCTGACGATCTCATTTACCTCCTCATCCCAGGTGCGCCCTCCCCCCACTGCTGACTCATGACTCCTCGCGCTCAATACCCACTGCTGTATACTCTCCACCTCCGCCCCGTCCTTTCATGTCCTTCTCCCTGACCTTTCCATCTCTGTGCCTCTCCCAGTGTCTGTCTCGATGTCGTTGTGGCCCGACCTTTCAAGGACTCACCGTATCTTCATCATACACATCCTCCTCACCGTACCATTGTGCGCACCCACTCACCATTAGCAAAAGCTATGCCCATTCACATGCACATACATGCTCGCTATATATCACAAAACCATCCCTCACTCTCCCACCCTCGGTGGTGCACATACATTCTTGCATGCCACGTCTATTCCCAAGTACTCTCCCTGCACGCACCAGGCTCCCTTAACTTGCGCCATTCCGGATTCCTCGGATGCCTCCTGCGCACTGGATTGCAGAGCACGCATAGTACAATGCGTTGCTAAGCATCTCAGCATCTCGAACAATCATCTCGTTCCCAAGCCTTGCAACTACCACACCACGCCGTTTCTTGGTTCATCCCACAATGCATGATTTCTCCCATGTGTCTCTGTGACGTATGTGCACGTGCGCATGTGCGTGCGTGTGCGCATGTGTGTGTGTGTGTGTGTGTGTGTGTGGTGGGTGCATGTGAGAGGAGCAGGGCTATTCAGCAATCTGAGTCCGCTCTATCTCTTGGACACCAGGGAGCACTTCTCCTCGCTCGGCCTCACCTGTGAAATCGCCAAGATCGACAGCCAGGTGCCATGCGCTGCCATGCCCCCCTTCTCCCCCTCCTCCTCTTCCTCCCCCCCCCCCCCTCTCGTCTTTCCCCGTCTCACCTTCCGCCCCTCCCCTCCTCCACTCCACCCCCGTTCCATCCTCCCCCCTCCTTTGCCCCTTACCCTCTCTCGACGCTGCACACTTACCTTTCCCCCGGTCCCTCACTCGATGCTTACAAGGAGGGGAGGGGTCTTTGTGCTGTGGATGTTACTAGATGTTCTAGTAGCACATGGAGGGGTACTGTGCCCTGGAGGTCGTTCACAGGGAGGTTCTAGTAGCGCTCATTCATTCTTCCGGTCGTCAGTCCTGCTTCCCTGTCCCCTCCCCTCCCTCATTCCTCCTTCGGGTAACAGTTGTCAAGGCACCTCTTTTGTGCAAAATCTATAGGGTCCAAACAAACCTCTCCCTGTGTGTGCGTTTGCACGTCCCAATCCCATCCCGTCCCCACTTCCATGGCACCAGGTGGGTGTGGAGGCCAACGCGCGTGTGCACAGTGACAGCGCTGCGTTGGTTGAGTCGACTAAAAACACATGTGCCTTGTGCCTGTCCTCATCCCACCCTCCTTCCATGCCACCATACGTGTGTGGAGGCCAACGCGCGTGTACTGAGAGACGCATTTGCTTTGAATCTACTGAGAGCTCGCCTCCTGTGCATGTGCACTTCCCCGTCCCCCTTCCATGGCACCAGGCGGGTGTGGAGGCCAACGCGCGTGTGCTGCGGGACACAGTGACAGCGCTGCTGGCGGGGAAGGCGGACGAGGGCGAGGAGATCTACGCACATGGCTTCCCTTCCCAGGAGAGTGGCACCAGTGGTACCAGTGGCAACGGCAATGACAGGCAAGGGAGTAGCGGAGCTGCTGTCGGGGACGAGAAGAGTGCCAAACGACAGAGGGTGGGGGAGGGGGGAATCCGCAGCAATGGCGAGACGGGCAACAGCAGTGGCACGGGAAAGGGAGAAAATAAGAGCGGCAATGGGAGCACTGGCAACGGCACCAGCAGCAGAGGGAGGCAGCGGCGGGTGCTGCTGATAGGGCACAGCAAGGGTGGGCTGGACGCAGCAGCAGCACTAGCGCTGTTCCCGTCACAGCTGAAGAGCAGCACGGTGGCGGGGCTGGTGTGCATGCAGAGCCCGTACGGCGGCACGCCCATGGCATCTGATATTCTCCGCGACGGCTCTTTGGGGAACGGCACTCTGCGGTCCGTGCTGGAACTGCTGCTGGATAAGCTGTTCAAGGTAAGAGGGGGGGAAGGGGGGGGGGGGGAGGGGGGGGGGGGGGGGGGGGTGTGGCGTGTGCTGCATGGAGGTTGGGGCCTGCGTGGGGGGTGTGTGGGTGCATAGGTAGATGGGGACTCTGATGTGGACCTTGTGACGTTGGAGTTGTGGTGCAATGGAAGAGGAGCTTTGGATAGTAAGTTGTCGATGCCATGTGCTTCTTCCTCTCTTGTCGCTGCCATGTGCTTCTTCCTCTCTTGTCGATGCCACGTGCTTCTTCCTCTCTTGTCGCTGCCATGTGCTTCTTCCTCTCTTGTCGATGCCACGTGCTCTCTCTTGTCGATGCCACGTGCTTCTTCCTCTCTTGTCGATGCCACGTGCTTCTTCCTCTCTTGTCGATGCCACGTGCTTCTTCCTCTCTTGTCGATGCCACGTGCTTCTTCCTCTCTTGTCGATGCCACGTGCTTCTTCCTCTCTTGTCGATGCCACGTGCTTCTTCCTCTCTTGTCGATGCCACGTGCTTCTTCCTCTCTTGTCGATGCCACGTGCTTCTTCCTCTCTTGTCGCTGCCATGTGCTTCTTCCTCTCTTGTCGATGCCACGTGCTTCTTCCTCTCTTGTCGATGCCACGTGCTTCTTCCTCTCTTGTCGATGCCACGTGCTTCTTCCTCTCTTGTCGATGCCACGTGCTTCTTCCTCTCTTGTCGATGCCACGTGCTTCTTCCTCTCTTGTCGATGCCACGTGCTTCTTCCCTCTTGTCGATGCCACGTGCTTTTCCCCCACGTGCTTCTTCCTCTCTTGTCGATGCCACGTGCTTCTTCCTCTCTTGTCGATGCCACGTGCTTCTTCCTCTCTTGTCGATGCCACGTGCTTCTTCCTCTCTTGTCGATGCCACGTGCTTCTTCCTCTCTTGTCGATGCCACGTGCTTCTTCCTCTCTTGTCGATGCCACGTGCTTCTTCCTCTCTTGTCGATGCCACGTGCTTCTTCCTCTCTTGTCGATGCCACGTGCTTCTTCCTCTCTTGTCGATGCCACGTGCTTCTTCCTCTCTTGTCGATGCCACGTGCTTCTTCCTCTCTTGTCGATGCCACGTGCTTCTTCCTCTCTTGTCGATGCCACGTGCTTCTTCCTCTCTTGTCGATGCCACGTGCTTCTTCCTCTCTTGTCGATGCCACGTGCTTCTTCCTCTCTTGTCGATGCCACGTGCTTCTTCCTCTCTTGTCGATGCCACGTGCTTCTTCCTCTCTTGTCGATGCCACGTGCTTCTTCCTCTCTTGTCGATGCCACGTGCTTCTTCCTCTCTTGTCGATGCCACGTGCTTCTTCCTCTCTTGTCGATGCCACGTGCTTCTTCCTCTCTTGTCGATGCCACGTGCTTCTTCCTCTCTTGTCGATGCCACGTGCTTCTTCCTCTCTTGTCGATGCCACGTGCTTCTTCCTCTCTTGTCGATGCCACGTGCTTCTTCCTCTCTTGTCGATGCCACGTGCTTCTTCCTCTCTTGTCGATGCCACGTGCTTCTTCCTCTCTTGTCGATGCCACGTGCTTCTTCCTCTCTTGTCGATGCCACGTGCTTCTTCCTCTCTTGTCGATGCCACGTGCTTCTTCCTCTCTTGTCGCTGCCATGTGCTTCTTCCTCTCTTGTCGCTGCCATGTGCTTCTTCCTCTCTTGTCGATGCCACGTGCTTCTTCCTCTCTTGTCGATGCCACGTGCTTCTTCCTCTCTTGTCGATGCCACGTGCTTCTTCCTCTCTTGTCGATGCCACGTGCTTCTTCCTCTCTTGTCGATGCCACGTGCTTCTCCTCTCTTGTCGATGCCACGTGCTTCTTCCTCTCTTGTCGATGCCACGTGCTTCTTCCTCTCTTGTCGATGCCACGTGCTTCTTCCTCTCTTGTCGATGCCACGTGCTTCTTCCTCTCTTGTCGATGCCACGTGCTTCTTCCTCTCTTGTCGATGCCACGTGCTTCTTCCTCTCTTGTCGGTGCCAAGTGCTTCTTCCTCTCTTGTCGATGCCACGTGCTTCTTCCTCTCTTGTCGGTGCCATGTGCTTCTTCCTCTCTTGTCGCTGCCATGTGCTTCTTCCTCTCTTGTCGTGCCACGTGCTTCTTCCTCTCTTGTCGATGCCACGTGCTTCTTCCTCTCTTGTCGATGCCACGTGCTTCTTCCTCTCTTGTCGATGCCACGTGCTTCTTCCTCTCTTGTCGATGCCACGTGCTTCTTCCTCTCTTGTCGATGCCACGTGCTTCTTCCTCTCTTGTCGATGCCACGTGCTTCTTCCTCTCTTGTCGATGCCACGTGCTTCTTCCTCTCTTGTCGATGCCACGTGCTTCTTCCTCTCTTGTCGATGCCACGTGCTTCTTCCTCTCTTGTCGATGCCACGTGCTTCTTCCTCTCTTGTCGATGCCACGTGCTTCTTCCTCTCTTGTCGATGCCACGTGCTTCTTCCTCTCTTGTCGATGCCACGTGCTTCTTCCTCTCTTGTCGATGCCACGTGCTTCTTCCTCTCTTGTCGCTGCCATGTGCTTCTTCCTCTCTTGTCGCTGCCATGTGCTTCTTCCTCTCTTGTCGCTGCCATGTGCTTCTTCCTCTCTTGTCGCTGCCATGTGCTTCTTCCTCTCTTGTCGCTGCCATGTGCTTCTTCCTCTCTTGTCGGTGCCATGTGCTTCTTCCTCTCTTGTCGCTGCCATGTGCTTCTTCCTCTCTTGTCGCTGCCATGTGCTTCTTCCTCTCTTGTCGGTGCCATGTGCTTCTTCCTCTCTTGTCGGTGCCATGTGCTTCTTCCTCTCTTGTCGGTGCCATGTGCTTCTTCCTCTCTTGTCGGTGCCATGTGCTTCTTCCTCTCTTGTCGGTGCCATGTGCTTCTTCCTCTCTTGTCGGTGCCATGTGCTTCTTCCTCTCTTGTCGGTGCCATGTGCTTCTTCCTCTCTTGTCGCTGCCATGTGCTTCTTCCTCTCTTGTCGGTGCCATGTGCTTCTTCCTCTCTTGTCGCTGCCATGTGCTTCTTCCTCTCTTGTCGCTGCCATGTGCTTCTTCCTCTCTTGTCGGTGCCATGTGCTTCTTCCTCTCTTGTCGGTGCCATGTGCTTCTTCCTCTCTTGTCGGTGCCATGTGCTTCTTCCTCTCTTGTCGGTGCCATGTGCTTCTTCCTCTCTTGTCGGTGCCATGTGCTTCTTCCTCTCTTGTCGGTGCCATGTGCTTCTTCCTCTCTTGTCGCTGCCATGTGCTTCTTCCTCTCTTGTCGGTGCCATGTGCTTCTTCCTCTCTTGTCGCTGCCATGTGCTTCTTCCTCTCTTGTCGCTGCCATGTGCTTCTTCCTCTCTTGTCGCTGCCATGTGCTTCTTCCTCTCTTGTCGCTGCCATGTGCTTCTTCCTCTCTTGTCGCTGCCATGTGCTTCTTCCTCTCTTGTCGCTGCCATGTGCTTCTTCCTCTCTTGTCGCTGCCATGTGCTTCTTCCTCTCTTGTCGCTGCCATGTGCTTCTTCCTCTCTTGTCGCTGCCATGTGCTTCTTCCTCTCTTGTCGGTGCCATGTGCTTCTTCCTCTCTTGTCGGTGCCATGTGCTTCTTCCTCTCTTGTCGGTGCCATGTGCTTCTTCCTCTCTTGTCGGTGCCATGTGCTTCTTCCTCTCTTGTCGGTGCCATGTGCTTCTTCCTCTCTTGTCGGTGCCATGTGCTTCTTCCTCTCTTGTCGGTGCCATGTGCTTCTTCCTCTCTTGTCGGTGCCATGTGCTTCTTCCTCTCTTGTCGGTGCCATGTGCTTCTTCCTCTCTTGTCGGTGCCATGTGCTTCTTCCTCTCTTGTCGGTGCCATGTGCTTCTTCCTCTCTTGTCGGTGCCATGTGCTTCTTCCTCTCTTGTCGGTGCCATGTGCTTCTTCCTCTCTTGTCGGTGCCATGTGCTTCTTCCTCTCTTGTCGGTGCCATGTGCTTCTTCCTCTCTTGTCGGTGCCATGTGCTTCTTCCTCTCTTGTCGGTGCCATGTGCTTCTTCCTCTCTTGTCGGTGCCATGTGCTTCTTCCTCTCTTGTCGGTGCCATGTGCTTCTTCCTCTCTTGTCGGTGCCATGTGCTTCTTCCTCTCTTGTCGGTGCCATGTGCTTCTTCCTCTCTTGTCGGTGCCATGTGCTTCTTCCTCTCTTGTCGGTGCCATGTGCTTCTTCCTCTCTTGTCGGTGCCATGTGCTTCTTCCTCTCTTGTCGGTGCCATGTGCTTCTTCCTCTCTTGTCGGTGCCATGTGCTTCTTCCTCTCTTGTCGGTGCCATGTGCTTCTTCCTCTCTTGTCGGTGCCATGTGCTTCTTCCTCTCTTGTCGGTGCCATGTGCTTCTTCCTCTCTTGTCGGTGCCATGTGCTTCTTCCTCTCTTGTCGGTGCCATGTGCTTCTTCCTCTCTTGTCGGTGCCATGTGCTTCTTCCTCTCTTGTCGGTGCCATGTGCTTCTTCCTCTCTTGTCGGTGCCATGTGCTTCTTCCTCTCTTGTCGGTGCCATGTGCTTCTTCCTCTCTTGTCGGTGCCATGTGCTTCTTCCTCTCTTGTCGGTGCCATGTGCTTCTTCCTCTCTTGTCGGTGCCATGTGCTTCTTCCTCTCTTGTCGGTGCCATGTGCTTCTTCCTCTCTTGTCGGTGCCATGTGCTTCTTCCTCTCTTGTCGGTGCCATGTGCTTCTTCCTCTCTTGTCGGTGCCATGTGCTTCTTCCTCTCTTGTCGGTGCCATGTGCTTCTTCCTCTCTTGTCGGTGCCATGTGCTTCTTCCTCTCTTGTCGGTGCCATGTGCTTCTTCCTCTCTTGTCGGTGCCATGTGCTTCTTCCTCTCTTGTCGGTGCCATGTGCTTCTTCCTCTCTTGTCGGTGCCATGTGCTTCTTCCTCTCT